TCTCAATCTTAAAATATTTTTTTCCTTATTGTAGGATGCTCCAAGGTCACTGTCCTCCCGTTGTTCATCAATTTGCCCGAGAGGGCCCAGTAATGTCTTCATCATGAGACTTGTGTTTGGCATATTGAATACGCCATGGGTAGCTTGCCAGGCTTTGCCGTGAGGGCAGGATACTCTTGGTAGCTTACCAGGCTCTCTGAGAGGGGCGAAGGAATCGAACCTGGCTCAACTGGGCTGGTTGCGTGCAAGGCAAACGCCCTACCACTGTGCTATTGCTCCAGGATGCCGTAGCACAGTGGTAGGGCATTTGCCTTGCCCACAGCCAGCCTGGCTGAGCTGGATTCTATTCCTCCACCCCTCTCTGAGAGCCCAGCAAGCTACTGAGAGTATCTCGCAAAGCCTGGCAAGCTACCTATGAATCATATTTGATATGCCAAACACAGTAATAAGAAGTCTCAAAATGGAGATGTTACTGGGCCCGCTCAAGCAAAATTGTAGGATGCGGCCTCAGGAAAAAATAGGGGTAAGCAAATTGAGTTAATATTCAGTAGCAGATCAAGTATTGGGAGCTGGTTAAGGAGGAAACCAAAAATTCTGATGCTATGTGACTTGTGTGAGATCTGGTGCAAAAGGCAAGGTAGACAATAATACTGCGTTTAGAATTATCAAGTTCCTTAGGGGTCACCCTCCTCACTCCAACATAGAACCCTACCTATACCCAGCCCCCTGTTTTACCTCTTAAATATATCTTGGGCCAAAAAACATTTTGCTTATCTCCATTGCCACACTACCCACTTCTAAGGCTGTCAACTTCTTTCCACTTGATTCTCTGTCTTTTCTCATCTGCAGTCCTCCAACCCATCCCACACTCTACAGCAAGAGATCTTTTCAAACTGAAATAATAATAATAATAATAATTTTTACTAAATGCTGCCATTATTTTAACCATTGCTTTGTGGATAAAAACTAAAATCCTGCATGTGGTTACAAGGCCTTGCCTCAGGATATGCCCCAACCCACCTCCCTTGCCTCCTCTCCAATCAGGCTTCTTGTTCCTAACACTCCAACTGGACTGGCTTTCTGAGATCGGCTTTATTGAGCTTGACCCCACAGCTTCCCTCCTCCTACTATAGTTTTCTGTCTCATACACAGTATAGCATGCTCAGCTACTTATGATCCCTTGAGCCCCACTCCTTAGGGAATTACCTCCCAGTAAGATTCCTTCCTGCCTTGTGGGACTGTGGCTTTCTGTTTGGAAACCTCATTCCCTTGTAAGTGTGCCCTCACTGATATGAAATGCTTACTGGATGGTCAACTCTATGAGGGCAGAGATCACCTCCATTTTATTTACTGTTACAAACATTTAAAAGCTTCTCTATGTAAATATTTTTACTGATTGAATGTACAGAGGGAGGGTGTGAGTGAGTGAGGGATGTTGAGATATCTCCTGGGAAATGGTGTAAATAATTTTTAAGGCAAAGAAAATACTTAGGAAAAATATAAAAAAAACTACTCCCGAATTACTTGGTTCTAGAATAATATAAAGACATTTCCTGGGAGATGGGGAAACCAGACTAGACTAAAAGGATAAATAGCTTTGGTGTTACCATAAGTAGTTCAAGTTGGGACTAAGCAGTAGAATTTCAGGCAAGAAGGAGTAAAGTACAGTGAAGTATTTTCATAGTTTTAGCAGGCAAGAAACTGCTACTTTCCTGGTAAATTGGATTTCTGCAGGCTGGGGAAGGCAGGACCCACACTAAAGAGATTCTAACATGCATGATCATTTCCTAGAACTTAATAAGAAAGAAAGGTGGAGCAACAGAAATAAAAGCAAGAAATAAACAAAATATACAATTATTTGGCTAAAGATATTTTTAAGAGCCTCAAAACCACAGGAACTCCTCAGGATGTTTATGTAATTGAATATAATGTATTTGGAATTGAAAGGAATAATAATCAAAACACTTTTCACTTAAGTGCATCTGAAGGCATATAAAATTGAATTCTTGGTGGTGGCCTATGCGTAACTGAGCTCTTGGTGTTTTGTCCTTGGGCTCCAGGCTGAAAATGTGTTTTTAAGAGCAGACATGAAACACAAGATATGAAATGAACTTTGCCGTATTCAAATGCCCAGCAGTGTAATGTCCTCCTGGTTTGGCAAGGAAAGGGCTCAACATTTGGAAACTCAACAGTGCATTAAGTATTTTAATAATCATTGTTGACACACAAAGCATATGGCCTTTCAGAACTCACTGCATCCAATGTGAGTCTTCTAGCTTTCTAAAATTACTTCACAAAATTCGAACAAAATCAAATTAAGACACATTTCAAAGTATATTAATTCATGACCTTTGTGCTATACGCTAATAAAATATATTTTCCCCAGAATAAAAGAACATGAGTAACTGATTATGTTAATATAAAGAGAAAACTTCACTTCTCCACAAAATTATTTATTTGCATTTAATTAGAAATTGAAATATCTTTATAAGCCAACAAGTCTTGTCGATATCTTTTAGTTACTGCATGTCCCTTGTGCAGCTTAAAGACCTAGCTCGTCTATCTTTCCATCCCAGAAACTTTCGTTGTTCATCTCCTTATGGTTTATATCTGTTCAGCATGACACTTAGTATTGTGAATAAACAACAGTAACATTCAGTCACTTGAAGAAGTAAGCATTTCTTATTGATACTAGTTTGTGGGATATCAGGGAAAATATGGCCTTTGTTGTCCTCCCTCATGTGTCTTTGGTTAACCTGCTCTGCCCATTGCTGGTCTCAAGTCTGAGGGTCGCAAGCTGGCAAAAGGCTGATCTGTTAGGATAACTGCGCTTTCCTTCTTGTGTCTCTTTCACATTGCTGAATTTCTAAATTGTCTCAGAGGTAAGTGGAGATTTGCTTGTGTACATTCTCAATAATCAAAATTGAAAGTGTATGATTTTTCAGTCCGTGTCACAATTTCCATAGGTGATATTCTAGATTGGATTCTGGAACAGTAAAGTAGCATTTGTGAAAAATTTAATGAAGTTCAAATGTCTGTCATTTGGTTAACAGAATATCAGTGTTGATTTTTTAGTTTAATTAAACAAATGCACAGGAGGAATGGTAACACCAGCAGGTCAATCTGTACCTGTGAGGTGAGTGCATCAGCAGTCTGATGGTGCCTTCAGACTTCTAGATACCCCAAAATTGTTGCTCTGCCTTTGGCCAGACCCCAAAAACGTCAGGCAAAGTTTACCAAAAAAGTAAATGCCCGAAAGTTAGGTATGTGGGAGACACACCCACAAACCACCTCGGGCACAGCTATATAATGTGAGGCATGGCCTCTCTGGTTCCTGATCAAACTGCTTAAGGGCTATGATCCCAGAGACTCAGAAACAAATCTTGAAACCCAACGGCTTTTGGCAGAAATGCATCCGGTCCCTGCAGTAGGTTACTGGGGTTGGGCCACCCCAGGTGGGAATAGGTTTTGTGCCTTGGCCTGTTCCCCGGTGGCCGCCAGAGGCCACTGGATAGTCAGGTTTGGGCCCTTAGTGACGAGACATTTGGGGCATCATGGAATGGGGGTGGAGCCAGCCCTTTCCTCCCCATCCCAACAAGACCCTGAGTCGCCGCCCATAAACAGCCTTTTTGGCTCCTCATCAAGCTGCTTAACGGTCATGATCCCAGAGACTCAGGAACAAATCTCGGAACCCAGCAGGTTTTGGTAGGAATCCCTCCAGATTTAAGTGTTAAAATTTTGAAATTTCAAAATTGCGTGGCCACTGCTGCAGCCAAGTGACATCATATGTTATTCTTAACCAGCAATAGAAAAAAAATTGTCTGCTGTTGCCTTTTCAGCAGATCTGAGTGTTGGGGTAAAATTTCAAATAATAATGGTGGGTCTGGTGTCAAAATATTGAATGTAATCAAAGTAGAGAGAGAGTACTGTGGAAATCATCTGCCCCACAGGTAGCAGGAGGTTGTGGGATGGGAGTATACTGGGGTTTTTGGTGGTGGAGAATGGGCACTGGTGAAGGTACAGGTGTTTCATTGTATGACCGAGACTTAAACCCAAAAGCTTTGTAACTACTCTCATGGTGATTCAATAAATGAAATTTTAAAAATTAAAAAAAAAAAGTAAGGTCGAGTTCATGCACAATTCAACCAATTCAATCAGCTAATAAGTGACTGAATAAATACCAGTACTCCTACATAAAAAAAAAAATGCCCAGTATTTTATAAGATGTGAACGGCAGTGAAAGTAAATGAAGAGACAGCTAGGAAGATCTATAGGAAAACAAAATGGCAAAGTTTATTATTCCTTAACACCCTGCATATTTCCAGACTTCTCTTCACGGTGACCAACATATAAATGCCTTGAAAGGAGAGGAATTTTAACACTGAGCAAGAAAACTGTATAATTAGGATGGCAAGTCTGCTATAAAATCACCCAAATGTGCGCAATGTCCTGTAGATTCTTGGGGAAGATAAAGGATGATTGTAATATTCAGGATGATTGAAAATTCAAAGGAATTTCCACTGAAGACAAAAGACAAAAAAAGAGGCAAGCCTGCTATTGGTCCTTCTCACTGGCAGTTTTTTAAAACTTTATTTAAACACTGTGGTTCACAAAGTTGTTAATAATACAGTTGCTTCAGACAGTTAATGTTCAGACATGAATTCAGTGTAACCTTCCCTTCACAAATGTCCCCAGTTTCCCACTCCCCCCTGATCCGCCCAGACAAGTCTACCCCTTGGGAAGGCACAGAATAGTTTGTTTTATATTGCTTTTTATAACAAAATGGCAAGTGGAATTATTTTTTAAAAATCTCAGTTTTTAAAAGAAAATTTGTGAAAATTGTTTTTTTCTCACAATGGTAGTATTGAAGTCATTGTCTGAGAATTTTCTGAGCCATTTGTTGCTAGTTGAGCCTTCTGTGTTATTGTTTTCACTTACTGAGTTTTGTAGGCTTCTGAACTACAGTTCATGTGACTCAGAGATGCCTTTTGATTTTCTAGGTTCAAACACAAGTCCGCCTTGCCAAAAAGAGCTTTGACAAATTGAAGATGGATGTATGTCAAAAAGTGGATCTTCTTGGAGCAAGCAGATGCAATCTCTTGTCTCATATGTTAGCAACATACCAGGTAACAGAAGGATGTTTGTTATAGTCAAACAAAAATTGAGTTAGGTTTTGATAATAGTAAAGGGTACTGTAGCTGCAAATGTGACTTAGGCATCATGAATTCCTGAAGGCCTTCCCACGCCTCTCTCTCTTCCTATGTCCTAAAGTTTAAACATGCTATTCCTTGTGCAACCACTGTAATTTCACTGCATTTGCTTAAGTTTTTTACTTACCTCAAGTACCTTTGCCGTCCACTTCTGCCTTTCCAAATTCCACTCTATTTAATGTACCAAAATGAATGTTGTGTCCTTCAAAAGCCTCCTTTGAACTCACTGAGGATGGGTCTGTACATTTCCCAGCACAACTACTTCTTCATCTGGTTATTCTAGTTTAATGAGCTTGTTTTAGTCACTAAGTTCTTTCAGGGAAATATTTGTGTACATCAGCAGAGCTGCTGACCACCTACTGAGAGTGAGATGCTGAACTCTAGACATTGCAGGAAATATAATAACTCGTAAGGCCAAGTTTGGACAAAGTTCTTTGTTCAAGGAACTTTATAGTTTAGAAAAGTAGCCCTGGCAATGGCAAAAGACACCTCGTTGGTAGTGTTGCTCCATCAGGGGCAAAGGAGATGATCCTTTGTTCATCTAGCTTGATGCCTAAATTGGTAGACAGAGCTGTCCCATGCTGGGAGCACATTGAAATAAGTAAATTTTTAAAATTTAGGAAGGGAACCAGACAGTGAGTCTGACTATACTTCCTGTACTCCAAGGACAGAACAGGGTTGCACTAAGAGAAATAAATCCAGTAAAGACTTGATGGAGGAACAGTTGCATCAGTTGAGGGATCACAGAAAGTAGATTGCTAATGATTAGCTCTGGATTTGAGAGGATGGGTAAGAGGGGGACAGGTACAAAGAGAATAAAAGTTCCAGGCAGTGGATCAGCACAATTCATGGGAAATTCATCCCACAAGGAATGAGAGCTAATTAAGTTGACTGAAATTTAAGGTATCTATAGGAGCATAATGGGAGGAAAGGTTGCAGAGATAAGTTGAAAACGTATTTTTAAAACCTCTGAAAGCCACAGATGGTACTCTCTTCTGTCAACAATTACTAGAATTTGATGCTAGAAATGCTAATAGCTCTTTTGTCTTCCTTTATAGACCACTCTGCTTCATTTTTGGGAGAAAACTTCTCATACTATGGCAGCCATCCATGAAAGCTTCAAGGGTTATCAACCATACGAATTCACCACATTAAAGGTACGAAAGCTAGAAAAAACAAAGTTTTGTTTATATCACAATGCTTATTACAGCAAGCACTATTCCAAACAGTCTATGTCAGAAAGAGAGATGGCAGAAAAAAGATACCCTCAATTAGTTTTTTTTTTACTCTTTATATTTTCCAACACAAGGGTAAGCCGCAGAAATCCACATGTGCAGATTAAACCTTATTGGGAGATGAATTGGGATGAATTTGAGCTTAGGCTCAAAACAGGATGCATCCTGTTCCTTTAAAATACATTTTTGATATTGTGGAAGAGATGATTATACATGCCTAGTACATTCTTTTATATTTTTATCATTAAATTAAAATATGATTATTTAAGAAACATTTTTTCTTTCCTCCTCCTGACATACTGAATGCTCAGAAATATTCAGAAATATTTTATTCTGAGAGTACCATCAAATATAGAATTTAATTTTTCCACAAGATTACAGTGACAATTTTCTAATTAAAAAAATATTAAAATAAACTTCTCAGTTCAAATGGAATATATACACAATGTCAGCTTCTCAGTTTGCAACTGAATGTGAATTAAAGAATTGATTTGGGTTCCAAAGTGACTTTTAAGATTGATGAGAGAACAGCGAGTGTTTTTTTTTTTAACTAGTTCATATCTTTGGGTAAAGAAGAACCCCAGGAAAGCTAATGTATGCCTTGAAATGTCCTTTCTTTTCACTTTTAGGCAGTTTGTAAATGTGTCGTCACTTTACTCAACAAAATATTGCTTGTGTGTTAATTTTGTTTTGTTTTTTGTATTTTTTTTTCCCTAAACCACTTCTTTTATTCTGAGATGTTCATAATGTTACAGTTTCTACAAAACTAGCAAAACCAAAACCCTTCAGGACCTTGGCACTTTCAAAGAAGGTCCTAACAACCCAAGAGGTTTGACTCAGGTGTTGTGCACTTGCCCCAGGCAAGACACCTGGTTGTAGAATTTGGTCTTCATAATTCCTTCTTCTCAATACCTGATTATTTGGTGGCCATTGATATGTCTCAATGCATTTATATGTATGCTTTTTTCAGTCTATCAACTGAAATATAAGAACTTGAGAGGGAAGAATTGTTTATTTCTGATGGGTCTTGCTTTATCCTGTCAGACATTGTGCACTGTCTCCAGCCTTCTGCTTTCCTCCTCAACTGCTTCCAGCTCCTTGGGAAGCAGCTTTCCTGACCAAGCAGGTTGATTAAAAGTTTTTACTTCACACCATTCACATTTCTCATGTAGCCCTGAGCAGAATCCTATGGATTATTTTTTAATGAGACAGAATTTTAGATTTGAAGTCATTACTGTGCCACACATTTTATTTTATAAAGAAGTCACAATTCCAAAGATTGTCTGTCTTTTGAAAGGTAATTGCGCATAAAGCAAATCAACTAGATGGAAAATAAAATGATGCCTACCCCAAAAACAGTTTAAAGGAAATTCAGGTTTGAGGTTGCTGCATATAAAATCATGACATAAGAATTATACCACAAGCATAGAGAATTCCTCCTGTGCATCCTTGGTCTCCTGTGTTGAGCAGATCATGGAATCTTAATTTTTGCCCTGATAGTTATCCCATGAAAGACCCAGTTGATTATGTTACAGAATACTATGAAATTTTGATGACAGATTTATAAACATAATGGAAGTATTTGACACCAATGATTATTCATTGCTTTTTGTATTTTCAGGGCTTTCCTTAAATTATGGTTTTAAACAATAGTTTATGGTTTGTTGTAATATTAATTCAGTAAGGGCAATAAATCTGATAAATTACAGTAAGAATATATTGAAATTTTTAAGTATTTAGAAACCAACCAAATGACTATGCTTTTATTGCCTCTCGAATTCTATTCATCTAGGCTTTCATTGCAGATATGTCAAAATCCTAATGCTAGTAGCTAATTAATTTCTTTGTATAAGCTCAAACCTGAATGAGAGAAACTTGTGATAACATAGATAATTATTACATAAACAGAGGCACTTTACATATTTGTATGCCACAAAACAGGAAAGTGAAAACCATTAATACATTAGGTATCAGTCAAGCAAGAAGTCATTACTTGGCCTACTAGCCTTCTTGCACTCCTGTTTTAAATACATGCCTAGTATTCAAAGGTACTGATTTGATTAAATCATCCTTCAATGTATAAAAATTTATTCTAAATGGCACTGCATATTGGTAAAGGATATTTTAAAATTTAAATGCTTGTACAATGCATTTGTTCTCTGGATTTACCTAAACAAATAGCCCCTTAGATGCCTTTTAGGACTCTGGCTTAGAAAGAAAACATTGTCTTTGGAGAGGTTTGCCAAGCTCTGTTAATGAAAAGCAACACATTTGTTTTCTTTGCTGCAGGGTGTATTCTGAGTGTGTTGGTAATTGTGCCATTGCAGCTGTATTTCCTGACTGTTAGTTTTATGCTTGATGAAGGATGATAATTAATGTGTTAAACACTCAGTGCATCCTGTTTGGAGGGAAGAGTCTTCTGCTGCAGAATTATAGGGCTATATAACTCAGGCCCCAGAAGTTCAAGTTTTATTTCTAATTAACATATCCTTAGAAAATATAAAAATTCTTTTTAAAATAAATTTACCATAATTAAATTTAGGAACTATAGAGATAGCTCAGTGGGCTAGAGTGCATGCTTTGCATGCAGGATACCCAAATTCCATCCCTGATACCACATAGTCCTCTGAAAATCTCTAGGAGCACTGGCTTCCAAGCTTCCAAACAACTACTGGGAGTAATCCATGACTAGCTGGGAGTAACCCATGACCACCATTGGGTGTGACCCCAAAACAACAACAACAAGGGAAAGAAGTAAATTTAGCATCATCCTCGTATTTTGAAAAATATCCAAGTGACTATTTGAAATTTTGTGAATATTTTGTGGTAGTGTTTCACATGACAATAGTTGTTGCTGTTTATTCTTGCCTGCTATGACTATATTGATTCTACTTTCATTGATTCATTACTTCATTTTAATGTTATGATATATTTTTTAGCATTTTAACATCACAGAAAATTTAGCCTGGAAATTTAGTATAACAGAATGTATTAACACTCTGATGCTGCAATTTGTGTTAATTAAACCATGTTCACATGTGAGCCACCAATGGTATGTGGCAGCATCATTGTATTATTCTTAATAGTTGGAACAGCTCACAGAGTTCACATTTGAAATAAAGAAGATTTTCATTTAAGTGCTCTCCATAAAATAGCAGTGGCTTTTTGTTATCTCATATTTTCAGAGTTATTGATTTAGTAATGTGTTACTAGATGATTTGCATGAGTTATATGCAATGTGTTGATTTTATACTGATTACAGATCATCTGGGAATGTCTTTCACAGAATGCCAGGCTCTTAAGAATACCTGCGTGCACGTTAGGCCACAAAAAGTGTTAAGCAGGGCCGGTGACAGCTCAAAGGTAGGGAGTGTGGGCTTTGCACATGGGAGCCCTGGTTCAGTCCCTGGCCCCACGTGATCCCCTGAGCCCCCAGAGAGCAGATCCAAACATGGAGAGGCGAATAACCCCTGAGCCTTGCCAGGTGTGGCCCCCAAAACAAAAGAACACACACACACACAAGCCAAGTAGAAATATGAATGGTCAAGAAATAGAAATGATCAAGTCATGAGGATAGGAATGGTATGTGACTAGCCATATCTTGTGAGATCAGTCACTTTTATAAAGAAAGTAATCTAGACTAAGAGATTAAAGTGTGTTTTAAAATCTCAATGAAATGTCTTTAGGAAAGCAGTTCTTTTTTTCCCAGCTAACAAACAGATGTAGTCCTGTTTACTCCATCCCCCTAGGATGTCTTTTACTTACCCATTTCTCCATGAATCTAAATCAGGCATGGGTTGGAAGGAGTTAAGTGACTTTTCCCTGAAAAAAAATTCTAAAATTTCCCCTATATCAGTGGCATTCTCTCTCAGATAGCTGACTTGTATGTAGAGTTTAACTCTCTTGAGAAAAGTGAGCACTGAGGGTTTGAACATACACATTGGGAACTGTTCATGAGGAAGACAGAGGAAGATACTTCTACATCTGTATTTTTAAGAGTAGAGTGGTAGATTTAATGAAGATAACCTATAGAAAATCACACCCCCCCCCCATATCATGCTGTATTCTAGTCTCTTTGAAAGGAAAGCCAAGTTTGACTCTGGTTACTTGACAAAGCAAAATTCATGAATAAGAACACCAGCTCTGGGGCTGTCCAGGCCTGATTTTACATCCGGCTCAGCAGTGTCACAGCTCACAGTGACGGTGGAGATGGTGGGAGTTGAGATGGTGGTAGCAGTGGTGGTGAGAATGGAGGTGAGGCGACAGACCTAGTGGTAATGCCAAGAGTCTTAGAATAGAGAGGATGGATATATTTTTTAAAATTTTTTATCAGTGAATCACCATGAGGTACACTTACAGACTTCAAAACTTTTGTGCATGAGTTTCAGTCATACAATGATCAAGTACCCATGCCTCCACCAGTACCCATTCTCTATCACCAATGATCCCAGTGTCTCTCCCATCACCCTCACCCCATCTCCCACCTTCCCTCTGTGGCAGGCACATTCCCTTTTGTTTTTTCTGGAGAGGATGGATATTAAAGATGAATTTGCCAAGAAATTCTCTGCAGGGTTCACAAGACAGACATTGCTGATAATGACACAGAAGGCTTTGTAGAAGTGGCTGGTTCCTTGGCCCAATCTGTTCCTTTTTTCACAGTTTCCATCCTTATGATGATTTTTGCAGTGAATTCATACTTACTGGCTTGTGTGAATGGAAGTGAGATAGGAGGACAAGGATTTGACTTCACTCCAGGCTGACCCAGAGATCTCCTTCTCCCACACATGCTTTGACAGCCACATTCCCAAACCAGTCCTGCAGCCCTCTAGGCTTTGGGTTTGGGTTCTTCTAATTCCCACAGAAAAAGGAGAGGTCTGGGCAGGCCTACAGGCGAGAAAGGCAGAGAAGACCTTCCCACCCCT